ATGTGGTTAGCAAGATGGCTGTGAAATAGACCAATGAAGAAGAATTATTTGCTTGGCTATTGATTATATATTAGAAATCAGAAAGTATAATGTAACAGCAATAAAACTAAAAAATAGATAAGAATACGCCCATATTAGTTCCATTGCTGCATAACAAATTTCTAAAAGTTAGTAGCTTAAGTATATGCCATTTATTATCTCATGATTTTGTAGGTCATAAATCCAGGATAGCATGGCTGGGTTCTGTGCTTGATCTCAGAAGGCTAAAATCAAGGTGTTGGCTGCCTGGGCACTAGTATGAAGGCTCTGGGGCAGAATCTGCTTCCAAACTCAGGTTATTAGCTAAAGCCAGTTCTTGTGGCTGTAATACTCAGGTTCCCATTTTATTACTTGGGGCCTAGTCTAAGCAGCTTGAGGCTGCTAGCATTTCTGTCTTAGGTGCTCCCTCTGTCTTTCAATTGGCAAGGACCTGTGGAGTTTTTCTTCTGCTTTGAAAAATCTTTGACTTCCCTTATGCCTTAGTCTTTTGCTGGAGAAAGTGCTTTGCTTGTTAGAGTCCACGTGGTTAGGTCAGATCCCCTCTAATGATCTCTTGATATTAAGGCCAACTGTGACCTATAACATAACACAGTTATAGTAATGACAGTTTATTTTACCAGATCCAGGGATTAGAACAGGATTTATTTTTAGGGGGAGAGGGGCACTTTATAAACTCTGTTTGCCACAGTGCCTGAGTAGAATTTTATAATACCAACATGAAAAAAAGTATAAAACTTCCTTGAAGGACATAAAAGAAAACCATATAGATTTCACTTTTTTTCACTCCCCAAGTCATCTAGTCTGTCAATTCAATTTAATTCCATGCAAAACCCCCTACAGAATTGCTTATTAAATTAGCAAGCTGAACATCATCCTTAATGGGGAACAACTGAGAGCTTTTCCCCTAAGGTCAGGAACAAGACAAGGATGTCTACTCACACCCTTTTATTCAACATAGTACTGGAAGTCCTAGCCACAGCAATCAGACAACAAAAAGAAATCCAAATTGGTAAGGAAGAAGTGAAAGTTTCACCAGTGGCAGATGATGTGATACTATATATAGAAAACCCTAAAGAGTCCACCAAAAAAACCTGCTAGAACTGATAAATGAATTTAGTAAAGCCATAGGACATAAAATCAGTGTACAGAAATATGTTGCATTTCTGTGCACTAATAATGAAGCAGCAGAAAGAGAAATTAAGAAAAAAATTTTTAACTGCACCCAAAATAAGATATCTAGGAATAAACCTAACTAAAGAGGTAAAAGACCTATAGTCTGAAAACTATAAAACACTGGTGAAAGAAGTTGAAGGTGACACAAGGAAATGGAAAGACATTCCACGCTCATGGATTGGAAGAACAAATATTGTTAACATGTCCATACTACCCAAAGCAGTCTACACATTTAATTTAATCCCTATCAAAATACCAACAGCATTTTTTACAGAACTAGAACAAAGAATCCTAAAATTTGTATGGAACCACAAAAGACCCTGAATAGTCAAAGCAATCTTGAAAAAGCAAAGCAAGGCAAAGCTGGAGGCATCACAATTCTGGACCTCAAGTTATATTACAAAGCTACAGTAATCTAAACAGTATGGTACTGGCACAAAAATAGACACATAGATCAGTGGAACAGAATAGAAATTCCAGAAATCGACCCATAATTATATGGCCAGTTAATCTTCAGTAAAGCAGGAAAGAATATGCAATGAGCAAAAGACAGTCTCTTCAGCAAATGGTGTTGGGAAAATTAGAAACGTGCAAATGAATGAAACTGGACCACTTTCTTAAACCATGCATAAAAGCAAACTCAAAATTGATGAAAGACCTAAATGTGAGACCAAAAACTATCAAAATCTTAGAGGAGAGCACAGGTAGTAACCTCTCTGACAACCACTGTAGCAGCTTCTTTCTAGGTACATCTTCTCAGGCAAGGGAAACAAAAGCAAAAATAATCTATTGGGACTTCATCAAAATAAAAACCTTCTGCACAGTGAAGGAAACAGCCAACAAAACTAAAAGGCAACCTATGGAATGGGAGAAGGTATTTGCAAATGACATATCTGATAAAGGGTTAGTATCCAAAATATATAAAGAACTTACACAACTCCAGCAAAGCAATTCAGTTAAAAAATGGGTAGAAGACATGAACAGACATTTCTCTGAAGAATACATATAGATGGCCAACAGACACATCAGGGGAATATAAATCAAACCTACAGTCAGATACCACCTCACACCTGTCAGAATGGCTAAAATAAAATACATAAGAAACAACAGGTATTGGCGAGGGTATGGAGGAAGGGGAACTCCCTTGCACTATTGGTAAAGATGCAAACTGGCGCAGCCACTGTGGAAAACAGTATAGAGGTTCCTCAAAAAGTTAAAAATAGAACTACTCTTTGATGCAGCAATCACACTGCTGGGTATTTACCCAAAGAATACAAAAACACTAATTCAGAGGGATACATGCACCTCTCTGTTTATAACATCATTATTTACAACAGCCAAACTATGGAAACAGCCCAAGTGTCCATCAATTGATGAATGGATAAGGAACACACACACACACACACACACACACACACACACACACACTGCAATATTACTCAACCACAAAAAGAATGTAATTTTGCCATTTGTAACAACATGGATGGAGCTAGATAGTATTATGCTAAGTGAAATAAGAGAAAGACAAATACTATATGATTTTACTCATGTGTGGAATCTAAGAAACAAACCAGCAAAGGAAGAAAATAAGAAAATCAAGAAATAGACTCAATTAGGGGCAGCTGGGTGGCTAATCAATCAAGTGTTTGACTCTTGATTTTAGCTCAGGTCATGATCTCACAGTTCTGTGGGATCAAGCCCGGTGTTGGGCTCTCTGCAGATGGTGCAGAGCCTACTTGGAATTCTCTCTCTCCCTCTCTGTCTGTCCCTCCTCTGCTCACTTTTGTGCATGCTCTGTGTCTCTCAAAATAAACATTAAAAAAAAAAAAAAAAAGAAACAGACTCAATTATAGAGAACTGAGGGTTATCAGAGGGGAGGTGGGGGTGGGTGGGTGAAATAGGTGATGGGGATTAAGGAGTGCACTTCTCATGATGAGCATCAGGTGATATGGAACTGTTGGATTACTATATTGTATACAGTTGTATATTGTATACAGTTTGGAAAAGAATGATGGATACCAATACATTACATTAAAATTGAAGTCATTAAAAACATTGAGGATTGGTTAAGGAATAATCTATGGGATAGAATAAGGGCTACTTTAGTAGATGATGAAGTTTTTATCATATCAAAAAAGTAATCATGACCTATTCAGTAAACAGTGGTGCTGTTGTCTATCCATTTGGAAACAAAATTAGGCCCTTATCCCAAGCACAAAAATAATTTTCAGACAGAATGAAGAACTAAATATACAAAGTAAGGAGAATTTGCTCATATACCTCGGGTTAGAGCATGCCTAACCCAAATGCTAGAAAATGCAATTGGTTAGTAAGCAGATGATGGAACACTTACTTTTGTAAGTATATGGAAAATGCAAATTAGAACAGTTACCCTCTCCCCTGTTTTGCTCAATCAGATGGGGAAAATTTTGCTCAGCCAAATGTTGGCAAAGGGGAAACATACTTCCATTGAAGAAGTTGTAATGGTCTTTTTGGCAGTGTCCATTGTAATGTTAAGTATGTGTATCCTTAGAAAGAGTAATTTTGCTTCCAGATTTGTACACTAGCTAAACACCTAAGTACATGAGCACAAAGAAGCATTTACTGGATGTGGCATTGTTATTATTGGAGAACATGTCCCAAACCAAAGATCCATCATGGAAGTGCTTTTGTTTATAAATCATCCAATGGATTTTGAAAAAGACACCAATTAAGTTTAATGAAGGTAATTTAGAGGAAAACAAAAATACCTATGGGTTTTGTAACAAGAGCTATTTTCTCCCAGTGGGTACTTTTATCACCTCTTATCATCCATTTTATAATACATTTAAGCAAAACATTTCCCTTACATTACAGATTCATTTTCTAAGAGCAGTGCAGTTTTGAGTACCCTCCATATATGAGCAAGCACAGAATGGTAATCCTCTGGGGAAAAATTCAACTGAACAAAGCCTTACTTCCTTAACACAATGTGTCACTTCTTGGGGATTTCTCTTAACTACCCTGTTGTACCTGCCAATGAGGGGCAAAAGAAAGGAAAAGTCTGTATCTGTACAGAGAGCACTGAAATGGATTATTTTCAAGATTAATGTCATATGTGGAGTGGTGCTTGCTGATTAAATGTTTACCTTATATATGTGATAATTGGTATTTAATATTTTAGATCTTAATATATTAGATCTTACAAAGCAGCCAGGGGAAATGTTCTCTTTACGTCTGTGCTCATATGAAAGAGATAAAGTAAAATTTCTTCACAAGGGCTTTTCAGAACATTAACTTTGGCAGCTTTAATCTATGGGTTTAGCAGTTGAGGATTGAAAATAAAAGCTTTGGCTATTGTCATTTTAATTCTGTGTATCTTCTGTGTTAGTTGTGAGAATGATGCTGGAGGTGAAAATTGCTTTTTAAAGTGAAAGAACTGTGGGATTTTAACCAAAGTGAGTGGTGTCTGATGAATTCATTAGATGCTTTTCATATAAAAGATTATCTTTATTAAGAGAAGAATTTTGTCCTGAAGATAATTTACAGTCCCTTAAGAAAAGAAGCTTATATTAATTAAAAACCCACTACAATTTAAAAATCGTTTTACAAAGCAATTTCTTGAATACACTTTACTTGAAACCCTATTTTTCTTTGTAATTGAGGCAAACCTTAAAGAGGGAGCTGTGGGCCACTAAAATCACTTACACTGTGGGCAAAGCTAATAGAAGATGAGAGCTGTGCCCATGTCCCACTGAGAAAGAGAAGACACCTTGTTAAAAAAGTAAAACTGTGAATTATTTTTGCAGAAGTCAACGAAAGGTTCTGTTGTTCTTGACCACGTATTCCGACACATAAACCTTGTGGAGATAGATTATTTTGGGCTGCGTTACTGTGACAGAAGCCATCAGACAGTGAGTACAATAACTTCATATTAAATTTTTCTGGTTATAAATTTCACTCTCTCTCTCTGGCTTTTCCTGATGTGGTTTTAGGTAGGCAGTTTCTTTGTAACTGAAAATGATGTTGAAAACCTTTAACATGTTTTCCCTTGCTAATGTTTTTTTTGCATTTTGTTTTCTCTTCTGCCAAAAGTTTGTAGAGTTGCAGGATTCACAACTTCTTTGTGTGTGTTTCTGTTTGCAGTAGACTTTCCTGGTTTACATTTTTAGAACCATATCCTAGAGAGTACTTTTCATTTATGCTGTTAGGAGAACTGAATAAGCCATGTAATAAATATGTTAGGAGGCAAGTGGCTAGTCTTGTTTTTTTTTTTTTTTTCTTTTTTGTGGCGAGTCTTTTGAGGCCACAGATATTTACTTACTGCCTTTTACGAAAGTTAATGGTTAAAGAGAGAAAAAATGCAGTATTAAAAAGGTACTTACCTAAGTTTTAGAAGTTGGATGAGTAATTATAAAATAAATAAGTAGGGGCTTTCATTCATGAGCTTGATGGAGTAAGTAATAAAGGCAGCCAAGTTTTTGGTGTCTGATGTTAATCATTCACGAAGTTTAACTTATAACATCTTTCTGGCTGGTTGGATAGTAGAATTACTAAGAAACTCACTACGTTGGTTAGTATAGATTCTATATGGTTATAAGTCTGAAAAGCAATTTCTTGGATGATAAATGAGGAAAGACTTTGGAGGTGGTGGTTTGGGGTATGAAAGGATATTCATTAGTGACTTCCGTTTTAGTCTGAGGAATATCTTAACCTCAGACACAGTCTTCTTGTGCAAAATGCTTACCTTACCTTAAAAATCCTGTTTGGCTTTTATTTTCATGCTATTCAACTCCTGTTGGAATAAAGATTTCCTCTTCTTCCTTCCTCATTTCTCGCAGCCTCCAGTGGATCATCTGGGGTCTGTTCAGTGAGGCACATGATTGTCTGAGTGGGTTTTTTTCTGTCCTGGTCACAGGAATGTGCTAGGATGAGAAGAGACAGGCAAATGGAATGCTATTCATGGTGGTAACTTGTGATTTTTCCTGAGCTAGTTTCATAATCTGTTTTGTTTCACAGGAGGATTTCACAAAGCAGGAATAAAAAATTGGGTGTGTTGGTTAGGCTTTCCATAGAGAGGAATAGCTTTCTAAAGGCAAGCGGTCATTAAGGCACACTTCAAAGAAAGGGAAATGGACATCTTCAGGAGTTGCCTGAATTCTATCCTGTATAGGACATAAGTCAATACTGCAGAACTGTAAATCCATATTGAAAGATTAAATTGAAGGCTATCGAAGCTATCTTGCATCACATTCATATTTTTGAAAGAACATTTTTCCTAGCAGAGAACACCACTGGTTCCTGATCTTATCTGGTATGTCAGACCATGCCTGGAAAGATTGACTGTCGTGCTAAAATTATATAGACTTTATCTCCCTCCTTTTTTAAAAAACTTTTCAAAGGAAAAAAACATATGAAAAAAGCCAGAGATTTTCAAACAATGGCCTGTATCATTGCAAAAAGAATTAGCAGTTGATACTGATAAATAGTCAAAGTTTTCTAGGGTTTATATTAAGATCAACATTTTTTTTCTCCTACCTTTATTCCTAAGGGTTGGCATTTGTGATAGGGTTTGCGTTGCAGGTTTTAGAAGAAAATAAATTACAGTTAGAATGAGAAAGCTCTTAAGTCATGTTTTTTGATATGGTAAGAACATCAGGTGTGTAAATCACATGCAAAATCTATTTTTTGCCTCCTGAATTTAGTTCTTTGTAGTGAACAAAGATAAAGTAGAAGTGGTTTGTAAATATTCCTTAGTCTTTTCACATCAAAATGTATTGTCTGATTGCTTTATATATATATATTTTTTTTTTTATTGTAGGAAGCTGTGAGAATAAGGTCATGAAAATTTGCCCCTCCTTTACGTAACCATTACATCAAGGCATACTGGAGGGCTGAAGTATATATCCAGGTAGAAATGTGATTCCATTACTGCTTCGCTTCTTTTGGGTATTGAGGCAGAACTCAGGATTTCCGTCAGGGAATAGCTCTGGCAGGCTTTTCACTCCAGAAGGGCAACCACCCAAGGCACAGCTTTGTTTCTAGGGAAATTGTCAGTGAACCCAAATTCACATTTCTCTATCTTCTATGTTAGTAAGAGCAGCCCTACATAGCTCTTAGTTACTTAAGGTAAAAATTTAAATAACCATGTGTTAGAATGGCACAGGACACAGTGAAAAATTTGTCTTTAAAAATAATGATTTCTGTGAATTTGCCTGAATTACTATCCATTAGATTGGATTTTCTGCATTGCTTTGATCTTTTTCTGCACCAAAAGGTTTGCTTTTAGTAGGGAATGCTTTGCAACAATCTTGAACATAAATAAGATCTACATAGAAAAGACTTGGAGGCCCTAAGAGGGACCTTTTAGGTCAACTCTTAAGACAAATAAAAAGAGAAAGTAGGAGAAGGAGCTAGGGGTAAAAGAGAAGAAAGATGAGGATTAAGAAGAAGTGTCTCATATCAGTGAGAAGCCCTAGGCTCCCTCCCTCCCTCCCCTTGGCAGTGGATAGTGCCTTGGGGCCATGCCTAGACTCTGGCTGGGGGCAGACTGAGAGGCATGTCTCTAAGGCACATGGACCTCACATAGCAGGGAACTTGTCTGTCCTTGAGGAGCAGGGTAACCAAAAGGCTGGATCTAGACATGTCATCATCACCACCATCCATCACCATCTTTGTCATCAGTGCACCAGAAACTGTTGAACATTTTCCACATGTTGTCATTACCTGCTCAAAACAACTTTGCAAGCTAAATATTATTATCATACTATCAGAGATGAAGAAATGGAAGCTGAAAAGGTTAAGCCACTTCCCCAAGATCACATAACCAGCAAGTATTAGCACCAGAATTCAGACGCAAGGCTTCGTGTGTCCAAGACCTTCAACCACACAATATCCCGACTTGCTTGCATGTAAGATGGAATGGTTTTGCAGATGTAGGATACTAAGGAATTATCTTCCCCAATTTATATACTTAGGGTTTGTTGAGAGGAGTTAAATGGTATGTTCCAACAAGTCCTCTTCTCAGATTGACCTGTGGCAAGAGAGTTTATTTAGGCCTTTTTTGTGTATTTATGCTTTTATGTGGTCGTTCAACAGCAATTTAAAGAATGCCTAATATGTGCAGGCCCTGTGCTAGAGCTCTCTCTGTTTTTCACATAGTCTCAGGAATTCTGAGGAAAGGAAATTTGCTGCCTGGAATATTAAATGAAACACAAGTTTTATTAAACTATACATTTCATAAAACCAAGCCCTAGGAAATTCATGTAACAAATACGTTGATTCAGGTGTCACCTATGTGTAAAGGGTGACAGCTAGGCAGAAGCAAACGTTTGTAAAGCAAACTTCTCTCCACAGAGTACAGCTGACTTGGTTTGGAAGATTGGGCACCATAATTTCTTAACTTCACTTTTCAGGTAGGGTCTATAAAAGAACCCCTAGGAAATAAGAGCATTTCTTCATGAAGACATGCTTATTGGGACTGAATTAACACACAATGCTGTCTGTCTCAATTCAGGCTTAGTTTTATAAAACAGTCTCTTAAAGATATGCAGTGGGGTTCACATACTCGCCCTTCCTTTTCCTAACTATACACAGGAGACCACTTAGCCTGGGCATACATCCTACTTTCTGCTCTGCTTTGGCTTGTGTCATTCTGGTTCTTTCTTGATCAAGACTGACCTGTGCAAGGGATGTAGCTCTTTCATATCAGGGCCTTGGTTCAACTTAACAGAAAATTCCCAGCCTCAGTTTAAGGTAGATGAGAGGAATTATGAGAACACACATAACAGAAAGACCCAGATTTATTGAAGGACCCTGCCACTTACTAGCGGTAAATATTTAAAATTCTCATATATACTGACCATTGCTCTAGAAAAGCAGAACTTCCAGAGAAGATGGCTCTCCCCAGTACATTCTAGGACTGACTGTCTTCAATTTGGTTGCTAGCCCAGCAGGAACACCTCATTCTCTGCATATGGTGTGTAGCTTGGCAGTTCAGCTTGGTGTGTCTTTGCTTTGAATGGGTTCCAGGTGTCTCTTGGCTGAGCATCCTAATCCCCAGCACCTGTAAATATCACCTTACATGGCAAAAATGACTTTGCACTTATGATTAAGGATCTTGTACAAGGACATCATCCTAAATTATCCAGGTAGGATCATGTAATTAGAAGCCCCCTTAGACATGACAGGAGAGTCAGAGAGACAGAAATATAACAGTGGAGGCAGAGGTCAAAATCATGTGATTACTGGAAGGGGGCCTTGATCCAGAGAGTGCAGGCAGCCACTAGAAGCTGAAAAATCACAGAAACGGATTCTGCCCTGGAGCCTCCAGAAGAAACAGCCCAGCGTCTTAGTTTAGGTTGGCTCTAACAAATCACCATGGACTGATGACATAAACAAGAACTGTTGATTTCTCATAGTACGGAGGCTGGAAACCTGAGATGAGAGTGCCAGCATGATTGGGTGAGAGCCCTCTTCCAGGTTGTAGACAATCCAGTTCTCCTTGTAACTTCACGTGGCAAAAAGAGCATTAGCTAGCTCTTCTGACCTCTTCTTGTAAGGGCACTAATCCCATTCATGAAGGCTCACCGCTTGTGACCTTAATTATCTCTCAAAGGCCCCACCTCCAAATAACAACATATTAGGATTAAGGTTTAAACATATGAATTTGGTGCCGGAGGGAGCAAACATTCAGTCCATTGTGCCCCGTGAGACCATTTTGGATTTCTGACCTTCAGAATTGTAAGATGATAAAATTTTGTTGTTTTAGGGCAAGTTTACAGTAATTTGTTACAGCTGCAAAAAAGAAACTAATACACGTGGTTACAGCGGGAAGCATTTTAATTTTGCTTGCTCAGTGGAAATATAAAGGCTTTCTTGTTCACATTCACCAATTAGGCATAAACCTGAAAGA